AACGTGTGGACAACGGAGGATAACGGATGGACAACGCAAGCCAACGGGTGGACAACGCAAGACAACGGGTGGACAACGGAAGACAACGGGTGGACAACGGAAGACAACCGGTACACAACGCAAGGCAACGGGTGGACAACGGAGGACAACGGGTGGACAACGCAAGACAACGCGTGGACAACGGAGGATAACGGGTGGACAACGCAAGACAACGGGTGGACAACGCAAGGCAACGCGTGGACAACGGAGGACAACGGATGGACAACGCAAGGCAACGCGTGGACAACGGAGGACAACGGGTGGACAACGCAAGGCAACGCGTGGACAACGGAGGACAACGGATGGACAACGCAAGACAACGGGTGGACAACGGAGGACAACGGGTGGACAACGCAAGACAACGTGTGGACAACGGAGGATAACGGGTGGACAACGGAAGACAAGCGGTAGAAACGCAAGGCAACGCGTGGACAACGGAGGACAACGGGTGGACAACGGAAGACAACGGGTTGACAACGCAAGACAACGGGTGGACAACGCAAGGCAACGGGTGGACAACGGAGGATAACGGGTGGACAACGCAAGGCAACGGGTGGACAACGCAAGACAACGGGTGGACAACGGAAGACAACCGATATACAACGCAAGGCAACGCGTGGACAACGGAGGACAACGGATGGACAACGCAAGACAACGGGTGGACAACGCAAGGCAACGCGTGGACAACGGAAGACAACGGATGGACAACGGAAGACAACGGGTAGACAACGCAAGGCAACGCGTGGACAACGCATGAAAACGGGTGGACAACGGAGGATAACGGGTGGACAACGGAAGACAACGGGTGGACAACGCAAGGCAACGCGTGGACAACGGAGGACAACGTGTGGACAACGCAAGACAACGGGTGGACAACGGAGGATAACGGGTGGACAACGGAAGACAACCGGTAGACAACGCAAGGCAACGCGTGGACAACGGAGGACAACGGATGGACAACGCAAGACAACGGGTGGACAACGGAGGACAACGGGTGGACAACGCAAGACAACGCGTGGACAACGGAGGATAACGGGTGGACAACGGAAGACAACCGGTAGACAACGCAAGGCAACGCGTGGACAACGCAGGAAAACGGGTGGATAACGGAGCATAACGGGTGGACAACGGAAGACAACCGGTAGACAACGCAAGGCAACGCGTGGACAACGGAGGACAACGGATGGACAACGGAAGACAACCGGTAGACAACGCAAGGCAACGGGTGGACAACGCAAGACAACGGGTGGACAACGGAGGAAAACGGATGGACAACGCAAGGCAACGGGTGGACAACGCAAGACAACGGGTGGACAACGGAAGACAACGGGTGGACAACGGAAGACAACCGGTAGACAACGCAAGGCAACGCGTGGACAACGGAGGACAACGGGTGGACAACGCAAGGCAACGCGTGGACAACGGAGGATAACGGGTGGACAACGCAAGACAACGGGTGGACAACGCAAGGCAACGCGTGGACAACGGAGGACAACGGATGGACAACGCAAGGCAACGCGTGGACAACGGAGGACAACGGGTGGACAACGCAAGGCAACGCGTGGACAACGGAGGACAACGGATGGACAACGCAAGACAACGGGTGGACAACGGAGGACAACGGGTGGACAACGCAAGACAACGTGTGGACAACGGAGGACAACGGGTGGACAACGGAAGACAACCGGTAGAAACGCAAGGCAACGCGTGGACAACGGAGGACAACGGGTGGACAACGCAAGGCAACGGGTGGACAACGGAGGACAACGCGTGGACAACGCAAGACAACGGGTGGACAACGCAAGACAACGGGTGGACAACGGAGGACAACGGATGGACAACGAAAGCCAACGGGTGGACAACGCAAGACAACGGGTGGACAACGCAAGGCAACGGGTGGACAACGGAAGACAACGGGTGGACAACGGAAGACAACCGGTAGGCAACGCAAGGCAACGGGTGGACAACGGAGGACAACGGGTGGACAACGCAAGACAACGTGGACAACGGAGGATAACGGGTGTACAACGGAAGACAACCGGTAGGCAACGCAAGGCAACGCGAGGACAACGGAGGACAACGGATGGACAACGCAAGACAACGGGTGGACAACGCAAGGCAACGGGTGGACAACGCAAGACAACGTGGACAACGGAGGATAACGGATGGACAACGCAAGCCAACGGGTGGACAACGCAAGACAACGGGTGGACAACGGAAGACAACGGGTGGACAACGGAAGACAACCGGTAGACAACGCAAGGCAACGGGTGGACAACGGAGGACAACGGGTGGACAACGCAAGGCAACGCGTGGACAACGGAGGATAACGGGTGGACAACGCAAGGCAACGCGTGGACAACGCAAGACAACGGGTGGACAACGCAAGGCAACGCGTGGACAACGGAAGACAACGGGTGGACAACGGAAGACAACCGGTAGACAACGCAAGGCAACGCGTGGACAACGGAGGACAACGGGTGGACAACGCAAGACAACGCGTGGACAACGGAGGATAACGGGTGGACAACGGAAGACAACGGAAGACAACCGGTAGACAACGCAAGGCAACGCGTGGACAACGCAAGACAACGGGTGGACAACGCAAGGCAACGGGTGGACAACGGAGGACGACGGGTGGACAACGCAAGCCAACGGGTGGACAACGCAAGACAACGGGTTTACAACGCAAGGCAACGCGTGGACAACGGAGGAAAACGGATAGACAACGCAAGGCAACGCGTGGACAACGGAGGACAACGGGTGGACAACGCAATACAACGGGTGGACAACGCAAAGCAACAGGTTGACAACGGCGGTCAACGCAGACTACAAGCGTGATTCCGCGTTCTAAAAAACTGACGTGTAGAAAACGTGCCATACCTATTTTGTAGGCGTTAAAGAATGGCATGACGTATTCTCCGATGTTGCATATTAATTTTTTTAAATTTTACTAATAAATGAAAGTCACTGAGAATGAAATTTTTTTTAAAGTTTCAGATAGTCGTACCTGTTCGGGCTACTGGTCCCTTTTCGGCAACCGCTTCCGCAACTAAGTTCCAGGCCATGGATTTCTTGTGGGCTTCCTTGTAATCGCATGTCTTTTTGTTCCACAACAACGGCAGTTCCTGTACTTCTTCAATCAAGAGCAACTTTTCAGCTTTCGTCCAGTTTGCAGGAGGTTTTGGTAATGTAGGCGGAAGGTCACTGGATGCGGGTGCGTTTTTGCGTTTCGGTGGCATTTCAGATATCGTACACGATTCGATCCAAAACGAAAAAGAACGACTGAACCTTTTTGCATTTTTTATCCACGATTTTCGAAAGATCCGCTATTTGACGGTGCACCAGGATATGGAGTTGTTTTTCATTCATTTCGTACGAGCATTTTACTTGAATCAGTTTCTCTGAACTCTAATTGTTCGACATCCTATAGTTTTAATTTACACTACCGCTGTATTGCCCACATTGATCGTGATTGGTCGAAAGCAGAACATTTCTGTTTTGCAAATGATTTTGATTTTCCAAAACATTTGGCAAAACAGATGAAACATTTTCAAAACAGATGACTGTTTCGAAAATGTGTAGCATGTTCATACTTTCTGTTTAGATGCCCACAGAAAACCTGTTTTTCTTATCCTCATACTTTTTCATCTGTTTCGACTTTTTCGACTGTTTTGAGGGAAACAGATAAGTATTAATCCAGCATAAGAATAAACATATAAAACAAACATTTCTCGACTCACAGCCTTTTGTGAGTACTTACTTATAAAACTTAAGAAAAAAAAACCTAAGAAAACATATACGTATGTACACATAAAATCTACAAAAAAAGCCTAAGAATACATATATATAAATATGTACGTACGAGTATAAAACCAAAGAAAAAAAACTTATGAAAACCTAAGAATAACGTAAGAATAACCTAGGAAAATCGAACGCGGTAGCCAAATCAGTGGTGGGCAAAATGAGTGGTGACCAAAATGAATGGTGGCCAAAATGAATGGTGGCCAAAATTAACGGTGGCCAAAATGAATGGACACGACTCCTACACATTACGCAGTACGACAATACCTATGTTACCGGGCTATTAACTTGCTCTTCCTCGTACCGAATTTAAAAATACATACTTGCTGATAAAAATAAGAAAGTTGATTTCATTAAAGTATTTCAGGCACTCCACTGCAGGGCCGAAACGTACCAGGATAGATCTGGATTATTGCTGGAATTATTGCAGTGTTAACTATTTTCTACAGAGCGTCAACTAGACCTAGTATGAAACGCTTTTCTAACCGAATGATCATCGCCCCTTCCGGTACTGCAGCAGGCCAACCGCACGGCAGTACGGATACCAGTTACGCACCCAAAACCTGATGCTTAAACTGGCTGCTCAAAAACAAAATAATAAAAAACCCATTTACAAAAACGTTGTTTAAGAAAAGCCGCCTTTTTTCATGTACTGATGCTTGGAAACTGAAACGCATTTTTTTACTGCGTTGCGCAGTACTTGAGGCCTTGAGGGGGGATGCCTGATAATTTCGGTACACTTTGTCACAATGCGGTTACGTAACATACGATCTATTTGAGTTTGAATTTATTAAATGTTTATAAAATGGCATTCGCATTTCAGATTCACATAATTCATGCTGTCTAAGTTCACGGACTTCGATGCTTGAAGAGGTGTAATTTATTTACCATGCAGTTCGTGCGCTATGGGTGAGAGTACAGTAAGATCGGAACAGTACGAAGCTGCTCCGATTACGTAAAGGCAAAATGAATATTTATACGATACAAATAAATACAGGACAGGACGAAAACAGGCTCGCAATAAGCGTCGAATCAACGATAGATAGGCACGGCGAGCTGTGATGGCGCAAATTGGGGATTTACTCCTCGGTTATCGGTAACTTAAAGTGGGACAAAATTACAGGGTAACTAATTTGTTAACATACAACTTACAGCGATCAGGAGACTTTGCCGATAAATCGGTAATAGGCCAAAATTAATTTAATTATGGGCACGTTTCTCTGGTTTTCAGGGACTGCTTCGAGCCAATAAGTATTAATCACGCCTTTGCCCTGTAAAACCAATTTGTGCATAAGTTAAAGGAAAGAAACGTTGTTATCAAGAAATGGGGAACATCAAAGGAGACGCATCGAAATATTCGCTACGTGCTTGTTACAGCAAGTTAAAAATTTAAGGCTGACCTTCACAAGTATTTCGCCTCGATCCACAAATTTTAGTGCATGGTCTCGGGAAACCAGTTTGTATGTTTCCGGGCTGATATGAATTTTACCAGCTAAATAAAGAGAGAAAATGAAGCTACAAATGCATGTGTCACATACTCGTAGCTACCGGTACAGAAACTTTATCCATGCGTCTTAATTCCACATCATTACTTAACACCACATTATTAAGTCTACATCGATATCGTTTCATAGTTAAGCCGAGAGTAACGAACATCCTTAATTCAACATACCGGTCCCGGTTGATTCCATCCTGCTGGCCGTATTTATCGTATCCCCAAATCTGCCAAACGCACGATGTAGTAAATCTGGCTTCCTTGTTAAAAATGAATATTTAATACGATAGCAAATCAAATACCAGTGTCACAGGCTAACGAAAACAGGCTCGAAAAATGGAAGCGTGACATCAGCGATATGATCAGCCACGGTCGAGCGTGTCGAATGGCGCAAATTAAGGGTTTACTCCTCGGTTTTTGCGGTATTTTGCAAAGTGGGACCCAAACTTAGCAGGGTAATAATTTGTTAACATACAACTTACAGACAGTATCGAGGAGACTTTGTACCGATCACTCCGGCAACAATAGGACCTGAAAATTACATAGAAATTAAAAAAAACCATCATTTAGTATTTCACGCTAATTTTTATGTTGAGCATTGCGGGTAATAGACATTGCTGCCGGTGACAAACTAAATGCTGCTTCAGCCTGTTTGATCAGACACACCTGAGTTGATCCCGATTCGTGCGGTTAAAACAATATCATGAGCTGCTTGAAAAGTCAGCGGGGCTTCCAACAATGCCAAACTCAGCTGACAAAGCTCTCCGGCGTGGTCATCATTTGGCAATGGGACACCACTGGAGATCTGTGGGAAAATGAAACACCAACCTGAAGACCTAATTTTATGGTTTCTCGAGATTTTGCAAAAATTTGACAATATACCATATAACAGTCGCCTATGGTTTCCACTTTATATGCGTTGAAATCGTGGACGACGCCGTCGAATTCTGAATGGGTATCATTCAGGATACTTATCAACTCAATGGGAGTGCAGCGTTGCAGAAGTATGGCAAAAGCCGGAATATCACTGAACAGAATGGACACACTGCTGAATGATTCCGCGGTGATTGGTTCTTTATTTCGTAAACGCTGAATAATCGACCTCCAAAAACAGTTACTTAATAGTTAATAATGTACGATTCGCAGAGTTTATGCGTAAAACAATAGTTACTGCGGAAGAATTTCGGCAAGAAGCGAATCGGATTTGCGCATCTCATCCAATAAGTCAGCAGTCTTGATTTTGACCTTTTCCTCTAGATCGTGCGCTTGTCGATCCAACAGCGAGAGCATGTGTGACACGACGTTTTTCGGTAGTTTTGGCAGTTTGCGAAAAACAGTAAGAATAGTCTGGCACGTTGGGCGTTGGGATGGCTCGGTGGAAACGCAATGGGCGATGACATTGTTTAGTGGGGTTAAATTAATAGGGTCTTTCACTTTGACATCGACTGTGACATAAAAAAAAACTCTATGTAATTAGAGAGCTATTCTTATTAAGAATAAGCACCATAGCATTAGCATCTCCCGAAAAACTCATGCGGTACTTGTTTGCTTAATCACATCGCTGCATATTGTCCCGAACCGGAAAACATCTTCGCTCCTTGATCCCCGTGGTGTTTTGTTGTTCTTCACCAGCAAAGAAAAAATTCGCTGGTATCCTGACTGAGCAATTTTTAATGTGAAACGGCTGTTAATAAAACAGGCTTGCATCGACAGATCGCCGTGATAATGCAGTGGTGAGGAGTGTATATAATGCATGCCCTGCAATAGGTCAACTTCTTCTCAAAAAAATATTATGCGCTTACGTCATTATAGCCGATTATCCTGTTGTGAAAGTGCAAATCCAGAATATTATGTGGCTTTACCTTTATCAAATCACGTAAAAATGAGAGCCGGATGGACAGATCGCTCAGGATGTTTTGATGCGCCATTATGTCCCGTAAACTCCCACGGTGTGAATACTCGCACATCAGATGATGTGGAATTCCGGCATCATTCACTATCACTCCATAAAAATTGCCGATGTTTTCATTGGTTAATCGGTGCATCTGAAAGATTTGACTATTTAAACACCGTTAATGATTAGCTGACATGCGAAAATCGAGAGAAAGGGTATGTAATACATTTCAGTTCAAGTAATTACCATACAAAGAAAACTTACACTGAGTAGTTGACTAGTAAGCAAGCGATTGCGAAACCACGCTCTTCTGGAAATACTACTTGGAAGCCGGATGCAATAAACTGGCTGGTGTTCGAGGCGAAGGCTTCCGTCGCTATATGATACAGTTTGCTTTCCCTCAACCGTACTGTTTGTTGATTCGTAGGTTAGCGATGCGGCGTTGAGAAACATGTGCAACACAGTCATTCGGTTTGCTTTTCGTCTACAAGACCATATAGATTATATCACCAGAACTTGCAAAGCATGGGTAATTAAATGTTCTTATCACAAATTTACTTAATTATTAATTTTATTTACAAATCTACGGATTGATTTTATTCTATTTCAATCTAAAGTCAATGCAAACACAATCTACAGATAGGATGAATCTTACTGTTAACACAAGTACGTAAGTTCACAAAATGACTGCGTATGTAAATTACTTATTTACCGATACAACCACCCGGCGCACACCGCAACTATAATTATAACGGTCAGTGCAACACCGGCCAACATCGGTCCCCAGTTTACTGCAAATCAAAATCTCTTGTTACCGTAATGCTTGTGACCCTGGAGATACATAATATGTACTGAGCAAAAGATCCAAACCTGAATTTTCCGGGCAATGTTCACCGTCAAAACCACATATCGGATTATTAGACGGAAACCTCGTCTGATTGTGCCACACCCAAAGGTCACTAGCGACAATAACAATGGTTTGGTTCTCGGTATCAAAAATTGCGGCTGTCTGCAAAAATATCAGTCATTTTCTTGTTGTACTAATTTAAATGGACTTCATTTGCAATTTTGCATGTGGCATATAATTATCGTATACCATACTGTCTACTCTGTACCTCCATTTGTCCGTTGGCTGTATTCAGCCGCAAAATTGGCACTCGGAAAGCTGCGCTACCATCTCGCGCCAATGTTGTCCCACTAGATGGACGAGTGTACATTTGCTCTTTGAGGCGCTGAGCAAACACTCGAGGACGGAAATGCTCCACATTGCCCCACGAGCTGTTCACTGCCTGATCGAAAGCTCTTTGCTCCAACGTGTTAATGATCATAATAGGAAGTGATAATATTTGCTCACCTCAGCGAAATTCATTATGAGCTCATACATGAGAGCAGAGACTTCGTTACGCTGAAAACAATTCAATACTTAAATTTAGCCGACAAACTACGACACTTCTTGATTGCATGTACGACACTTCTTGATTGCATGTCCAAACCTAGTTGTGCTTTCTGTGAGCGTACTTACGATTCTGTCTGGTTTAACTGTGATATTATACACATCCGCTGATATTTTTGCGGTATCGTCAAGAAAATCCTGTAAGTCGCCCCAGTTGATCGGAACTTCAGATACAGCGATCAGCGATTGAAAGGCTTGAAATGCTTTCTGCAATACATCACTGCAAAGCTGTAAAGCTTATGTACAATTGTACATACATCGGTGCTGTGAAATTAACAGCCAGTAGGCACCACTATGGATAGCATGTAAATTCACTGCAAATAGGAAATATGATATTGATCCCCAAGGATTTCAAGGAAAAACCTGTTTTCTAACTTGGAAAATTACCTGATCGTCTTCTTTGTTTTCTTTCCACGTAATTCGATAGGCGATCCCCGGCTTAAGATCGGATGCCAGCGTTAAGAACACCTATCAAAAGGAACACAAAGTGTGCTACGATGCGGATTTCAGCTTAATAAACAGCGAAAAACTGCTCACGTATTTTCCGTTGGTCATGCTCATTTCATTGGCGGTGATCTGCAACACGCATGAGCTAGAAGTATACGAGTAATACGCGGACAATACTCGTATTCTGCAAGCTTTGCACGGGAGTAATATGTAAAAGCATTACCATGAACTGACGCAAAAGCTGCGGAAACATGATAACTATTATCACTGCAAAAGCAATAATATATGATAATACACATAAGAAGGAAGAATTCACGAGTTGGGCAGACGTACCTCGAGTTCGCGTGCGCATAAAGGTTAAGACTTCGCGGTAGTGTGCCGAGGAAAACTCGGTTATCTCCGGACGGAAAACATGAAACTGGTTAGCACTGACTTTACTGTACAGTTCGCTTCGGATAAAGGCATCACAGAAGACGGCCGGGTTAAAAATACCACGCGCTGGACACCACAAACCAATATCGCGGGTCCAACCGAAGTGTAAGAGGAGAGCGGCAACACCGGCTTCCAGGGTCGCACCGGGCACCGGTCCTAATTCCGCCATTGTGGGGTAATCTTGAAACCGGGCCACGGCTCCGTTCGCGGGGTCCAGGCTCAAAAGGAACACATCCGCTGCTGCAATACAACAAACTTGCATATTGAGCCCGTATAAATACGCGTTCGAATTTGGGACATAAATATTCTTCCAATGGATCGCTAACATACTGCCCGTGTCCTGCTAACATAAATACCAATGTTACATCATCAGGTTGCATCATAAGAAGGCTCTCTTATTAATTAACTTTGGAAAATGTCATAATTTCGTCGTTACCGATTCCTACATTGCGCAGGGTCTTTATGAATACAGAAATCACTTGCGATAATATGTGACGGAAGATGGCATGTTTTACTAAACTGCGCATGCAAATTTATGCGAAACCTGCGTAATAAACTATAAATTGCGTAATAAATTTTGCTTGTACTTTCATCGTCCCAAAAAAGCTAAGAAACCTAAGGAACCTAAACACGACATTAAAAAGACTTTATACACTTACCGGTTGTAAACTTGGCCAGTTCTATAGTTGCCTGATCGCACCAGTCTGCAAGAAATTACAAGAGGAATTGCCGTTTTAAATGACCCAATATTCCGAATTAAAGCCAACAATACATTGTTCATGTCGCCAGAAAGCAGCGCTTAATAGTGATTTTATAATTTTTAAAATTTTGTTCGTTATTAATTCTTATATCAAATGTAATTTTTTTATTTACCCAGAGCAAGGAACAGTGGAAATGTTTCGGTATGGTCCCCCAGAAAAACTCGCGAATACTGGTGATAATAGGCTCCGATGTTCGGCATAATAGCCTCGTACGCATAGTCACAGGGATACGAATAACCCTGCTTTGGCATGCTGAGGGCCAAGTTCAACGTCGGCATGACCGTCAGATGGGAATAAACCAACGGATATTTCTTGGCGATGGAAGACAGTGTGGCGTCATATGCCGGTAACAAAACCTCGTACCCATAGACTTCGCTTTTTGTCATCATCACAGCGGCAATGCTGATATTCAGACAGCATGCATAATTCAGCAGGCTCACGTACAACAGCAATACGCTATTTTGCTCAAATGGTGGACGCATAATGAGGAACAGCTTTGCTTTAATGCAAAAACATGATAACTGAATTCGAACAAGAGTTACCATACACAGTCTTTATTTACTGTGAAAGACTGCCGTATAAAGCCTTTTACCAGGCCGAATGTTCACAGGAATAATTAAATTTCAGGCGCTGCAAGCACATTCAGCATCGCGTTAGCAAATATAGTACTTGCGACGGAGGTGAACGATGTGCCCGGTTAGTGAATAACTACTATTGTGTGCTGCGTCATTTTGCAACGGAGATTGAAGTGTAGGTGTGTGAGGGCGGTATAGTCATAAAAGAGTAATCTATATACATAAGTGGTCCCACATTAACCCGGTGCCAATTCCGTTTGTGTAGGCGATGAATGCTGCAGATCACCCGCCCTGCATCATATGAACGGATGCACCCACGCTAGCCTACCCCACCGTTCATTCGCCGATAACCCAACTGCTCGTTGCAAAATATAAAAAGCAGCAATATTCATTATAATTTATACATGCAGAATCGTCAAGTACTGTTTGCTGATCGCTGACGACATGTCACATGAATGTTAAATGAAACCCGAAAAAGGGTTTTGCATATAGAACGATGTTTCCTAGTTTTACGTCCTCCCATCCTCCCTGTACACCGATGTGCGCCTGTATTAATAAAGCATACATCACATCACACACATCCCATACGTATTAGTAAAGCATATATTATTAAAGCATTTTCGATGACATGCACGATTTTTACGTTGGACATACCGTAACATACATTTGCATTATATAATAAACTACATATAAACCATTACAAAGTACTTAATACATAAAGATACTGGTATGTAACGTTTGTGATAAAGCTTGGCACTGAAATGATTGTGTACAGTAATCATCATGAGGCAGTACAACTAAGTAGTGATAATCGCAATAATCGTATACAGAGTACCCTAAATAATAATATAATCAATAATAACATAATCTCAAAAACAGTATATTTTCTGAACGTGTATCATGTCTTATTTACCTGTTCAGTGCAGTGTTCAGATACTCGTACGTACGCCGTACGACAGCATAGTGCCATATGCATGTAAAACTGCTTGCGGTTTAGAAAATATCCTTAGAGCAAAAGAATAAATCTGGGACAAATAATTTCTGAATAACACTTAATTTTGAAGTGTGGGTTTTACCTTTTTAACCGCCCTTTTAGCTTCCTGTTACGTGTATAAGCAGAAGTATTTATGGAATAAGTTTCCTAGTTCGGTATATTTCACTGCCTGATTTTATTTATTTTATTGTCAACTCGATTTACGAGCGTAAAACTGCTGCGAATGTTTGTGTGTGTCAATTGCATTCTGGTAGACGTCCACTCCTTCGGCCCGGAAAACTTTCACGTTGGCATGCCTCAGCTTGCCCACCACTGCCCCAGGAGGCGGTGGGTGGAAAGTTAACGTCATCAGCGTAGGTCTGCCGTTTCCGCTGTGCTCGAAATAATGGCGTATAAGCTGCAATACCAACAGCAGCAGATTAATTGCCAGGCATGACCAACTAGGAATATGTGTAGCAGGTACCGGATGGTTTGCCCCTTCTAACAACACTTTTGTCGGCGTATTAAAAGCAAATGACTCCTTCGTGACAGAATCCCTCAATGTAATTGTCTGGGTAAAGTGTGTACTGTTGACCGGCGCGATTTGCAGCACAGTCGTTGGCGTTTCCGCATTTTCAAATTTTCCAAACATTAACGGGGAGAACAGGCGCCGCATTCGGATAGCTCGCGTTGATCGGCCATCGAACGCAACCTACATACATATCTAATTAAGGACACCATAAAGACATATTATTTTTTGCAAATAAACACTTCACTATCTGGTGAATAAAAATTATTATCAATTTAATTCCATAAACTCAGTTTGTATACAACAAAATCGATCAGCAAATTTTAGTTGTGAACTTAACGCACACAACTTATGCCCGTCGAAGGATCGAAGGGAGCCATGGTCAAATCGAGCGAAACCTTTTGCGCCTCGGATACTGAATTGCGCGGAGTATAAGTCAGATCAACGAGCAAGCTTCCCCGTGATTTGATGAAGGTTGTTGCCTGAAAATCGGCACTCGTCCTTGTCAAGCGATAACGAATAACCAATGTTCGTGTCAATCGTGTGCAAGCAAGTACCAAAATCGCTACATGTGTTGTGCCAATCTATAATACAGTAAATACGCGAACCTTTAGGCTGCTGTATAAATGATTATAATCATTCAACTCCGTCGTTCCGTTCAATTTGAACGGAATGGCGGCGGGTTCAGCTCCCTCGCATGGCGCCATGGTCAGGATAAATTCCCGTGTGTCGGGACTGCGGCTAATGTTTAATCGCAGACCGCCACTTTTGGCCGGACAAGGCTTATCGGGGTTCTTCGCTGTAACCGGTAACGTACAACTAAAATTTTCGGCACGATGATATGATTGTACTATACGTGTACCATGATCGACAAAACGTTCCCGGGCGTAATCCTGCTCACCAACTTCTTCGAACGCTCCATAGAACCAGTCTGGAATGGTTCGTGTATAAAATATGGTTGTCTCTTTGTCGTTGAACTTAATGGTCTGCAACATAACAATACGCATGTAGCGAGTGCGGATTTATTTCGAAAATTATATAACCACAGTCATGCCGGTTTATCTTTACCTGCTGCACGCTGCTCCCCTCAAACAACATGTAGGTGGTAAATGTGCCTTTTCCGTCAGGCAATTTGAACCGACCAGTCAGCAGCGCCGACGACGGTGTCGAATTCTCCAAACTAAAATGGTGCTGTACCCAAACCGAAAATGTGTAGTCGCATCTAGTGAGCTAAAAGCAGGGTTTCGCTTACTTCTAGTGTGCCGTTGAACATCGCCGAATGTGCACTGTAGATCTTATTCAGGACAAAAGAAACACCCATCTGATAAGCAGGATGAAAAACTTGGGAGTGGGAGTAGCCGTAACCTTCTTCTTCGGCGAACATCTTCGTAATCCGCAGAAGCGTGCTGTTCGTTACTGTGTAAATTTCCCCGAATGCTGCAATACAAAAGCACCATATAAATTAAGATAACTGCGTTGTAAGCGGCTCTGCTGGATTAATTCGGCTTACAATGGAATATTGTATTCGCTATGCTGACGTTTTCGCTCCCGGTGCGGACAGGGTCGATTTCAAAAAACCCCCTGCATGTACGCCCATAGACTCCGGGTGTAGAACGCGGTATGTTCACTGCCGTCCGCGGTGCTGAATTTCTGCAAGCACATAGACCTTTTGCAGTTTTTGCAGCGAATTGAACAATGCATGAATTTGCTGCAGCTTTATACAAAACTGTAAAGCTAAGCGGAATTAAACGAAATTTAATGTTATTTTATAAAACTAGGAATTTGCCGTCGCATTTTGGTTTAGGCTCAACAAAACTTTCCGTTTAAAACAGCTTTCAGTTATTTGCTTAGTTGCTGTTGGTAAAATTTGGCTTAGAATCCTGTTTATACTCGTATTAGTATGTACTCGTATCTGTATATCAATGCTAACTACCAGCATCAACATGCGCGCGCACTATTTGTCATACTAGAATTATTTAAGGACGATTAAATATGTTTATTAATTTTAACGTACAACTTGAAGGCCTTCATCCTTGGCAGTGAAAAACAGATTCAGCGTCGGGTTGCCGGGCTTGTCGAGGTTTTTTATGGTTCCCGTAAGCGATCCGGACGGAGAGGAGAGTTCAAACAACACCTGCAACGACCATTGGCAAGAAATAATATAATTCAAAGCCCAGTTTAGGATACACGAAATATCTCTACCGGCTTCAGCAAAACTTGATACAATGCAGTACTCTGTATGTATACGCACCTCCAAATGTTGGTCTCTGACCGGAACCGTATGCTTTTCGCCCAGCTTAAACTGCACACAAGCTTTGACAAAGTCGGAGCCGGTGTCGAAGAAAACCACGCAGTACAAGTAGCCGCCGTCGTGTTTTTGAAAATGCAGGAAATTTCCATCCGATGAAGTAAGGTTTGCTGGCGACATGTCTGGAAGACAAAACATACGCCCGTGTTTTTTATTATAAAACGGCTTAATGGCTTTAATGCTTGTAATACTTTTTTACTGAAATCATTATCACAATAAAGCGTACCAATGATAGTCGACATTGCTTTAACATGATTGGCTTTATCCCGAGGATTGCGAAAGATACCGAGGAATTCCTTTGGAAGTGCGGTATTCGATGTCGTCGCCCATGATGAACATGTTAGTCCAATGAGTGTCCAAAGACAAATCACTCTGAAAGCCATCTTTTGTAGTTTTGTTCGTTGTTTTGGTTTCAAGTCGCCGGTATTTGTGCAAAAACCTACGGCAGTTTTGTGCACGAAAGGCTGCCAGACTGTTTTCCCAGGAAATACCTTACGCCAGACTGCAAGTAAAGTAGATTGGTTGTATGCATATACAGTACTAAAAGCGGCGCGGTTGTAAACAGCTGCGATAGTCTGATCCGTATCAGAAATTGTGATCGGCTTTAGAATTTTTTATGGAAGAAATCGATCGACCAGAAGATAATGCGTGGGAAGGGAACTCTTTCAGCAAATGGATTATACCGCTTGAATCGTACGTACAGGTACAGTGCGTATAATAGGTACGAAATTGCCGAAACGTGTTGTACGTATTTTTGCTATAAGTCCAGCTGTAAAACTTTTATGATTATCCCTATGCTGTAATTGCCATATTGCTAGCCATTATCATTGGGCGTTCCAATTTGCATTTGAAATTACACGTTATTTAGCTAGTGAGGGCTTTTAATAATATAATAATTATGGCAATATCGCCTCTGCGTACAGATACATGGGTTTTTTGGTAACATGCTTTGTGTACCAGACACAAACAAAACAGAACAACACAAATCTGACAGAGGCGCATAACGTTTGAAGACAATACTCGTATTATGCAATATCCTCTTAAAAATACACAATAAATTTGTATTATCCGGCTAGACTGGCCTCCGCCACGGAATCCAACAAGACCCAATCGGAATGGTACAAGCGCGAGTTGGAGTAGTCATAATACTGAACGGCTCTGCCAAAAAATGAAAATGGTCAGATATAGTCCCCGGACGATTTTTAATGACAAATTTTAAATTAAAACTCACTTGGAGCAATCAATGTTGAAGTACCAATCGCACACTAACGTTATCTGATTGAAAAGCTGCAAATAAAAAAATCATTGAAGTTTATTTCGATCTGTTGCTGATACTGACAACTGGTGCCTAAAATAAGATCATCCTTACTGTGGCGTTTGGACACAAGTAATTCCACTTATTTCCGTTATAATCACACCGTCGTATCACTTGGCAGCGCGCTTCCGGGTCGGCGTAGAACCCGGGCTGATTCACATTGTTACAGCTGAACTTCGTATTGGGAATCCACGTATACGTCGGGTAATCCACTCCAGGAACCGATCGCGCCAGTATCTCCTGGATCTCGCCGGCGGACAGAGCCGCTTTCCCTCGCAGTTTCTCCAGTTCCTCCCAGACGTTGCCTTGATGGTTCTTGTCATTCTGCTCGGACCAAGTGATGTTAAAACGTTGGGCAAAGTCCTGCGTTGGGTCATGCTCTGTGGATACCAAAATTGCGCCAGGAACAGCATGACTAGCGGTGGTCTTTTTTGGCATCGCTGCAGAGTTTGCATTTTTATCTTTTGCAGCGGATTCGACAGCAAATTCACGGTTAAACCGATCGCGTGTCTCAACAAAGCTTGAATCTGTCATCAAGAAAATTTGTATTTAGAGCCAAAATAAGAACGGAGTACTGGAAGAAAAAAACGATGTAAGAATCTTAGCAGCGAAGCAGATTTAAATAACAGTAAAAACCTGAACACTGCTGCAGCTCCTACCGGCATTGCTTCGCCACAGTAGCTGATCATTACCCGCACTAGTTCGTCCGAAACAATCTTTTTTGATGGTTCTGTAGTTGACGGCACCATGTTGCCGAATCTGGGAATGGTGGACATCGTGACTTTCCCATCCAATTGGTCCAGGGAACTTTCTTGTGCTTTTCGCGCTTTACTTAATCGATCACGGGATACAGCAACGGGATCCCATTTCTTCATCTATGGTAGGAAGACAACATTCGTTGTTAGCACTTAGCATTAACAAGCATGGAGTGTAATCAACAAAAATACCGTTTTGTTTTGAGTGCATCTTTGGTTCGTTCGAATGCACCTCGAGCGTGTTAGAAGTGACTGTTTTTGTGACATCCGACTGTTTGCTCTTCCGAAGAATGTTGTGCTCAAACGGCTGCTGTCTGATTCTGGTTTTCAAGATACAAGTGACTTTAATTTGAAATTCGGTCAAGTATCACTGGGATTTTGATGGATAGTGGTTACAAAGTACATAAATACAAAAGCACATGTTTACCTTCTTGACGTGCCAATGTTAGTGTGGTCATCTCCGCTGCGGAAAATTGTTCAGTTGTTGGCAACGGCGCGTTGGTAGTCTGACTTGTCTCTAAACGTCGCTCCAACGAAAGGGCATTCTTTTTATGGGTTTTCCTTCTCCGTTTTCGGTCAGACATTTTGTCTATGGCAGCGGATTGCAGTTTTACCGGAGGAACTGTTGTTGCCGAGGATCTGGGGGTTGCCAAATCATGATCATTATCTGCCGAAGAGAATATCGAATAAATACCGCTTAATATAGTTATCGCTGTATTACATCAAACTTGTCAGTGCGAATACTTAATGATGGGTGCTGTCACAAAACTGAATAGCTCAAGCGCGTGTATGAGGCTTGTTTCACAGCTTGTCGCTCTCATTCAGCGGTGTGTTTACCGAGAGCGATTGTTTTGTCCGTAGCCGCATGTTTACATGAATAATCGTTAGGCAATTATCGTACCGGACATTCATAATACGCCATAAACACAAATACCGTTTATACTACCTCCATACAAAGCCACAATTACGCGATTTATTAGATGCGTTTGAATAAATATAATTAACGGGAAATCCAAACGTCGCAAAACAAAAACAGTCCAGGGAATTAGCATACAGTTAGCAGAAATTAGCATACACACGAGATACATAATTTCATAAAAGTGGAACTTCTAAATATTTCACCTGATCTGAATATGCATTCAAGACTGTTGTTAATGTTCTTGTAATGTTAGAGTAAATTCAAAATGTAACTGAAATTACGTAGAGTTATCGAACAAGTAAAAGCAATTTAAAGGTGAAAAAGGAAAATTAAAGAAAATAAACCAATAAATAAAATAAACAAAGATAAGTACATATGCATATTACAATCAAAATTTTATAAGAATCAGCCCCCAACAGCTTGATCGCAGTTGGTTACAGACTGACAAAAAGCGATACATTTTGAGTTACCTAGACCGGTTATTGCAGAGCTGGACGTTTGATGAGATGAAATGGACAAAGGTTGTCCATGGGATAACTGCCCGTGAGCACCATCGGTAGCACTTTTGTCGGCTTCATTTGGCGCCAGAATACAGATCACATTCTGGCGTTCCAGCGAAGTTGCAGTCTACGAGCCGAATTATTAAGAAAATTATGTAGGGAAGACATTGATAATTAGTAGCCTTGTGCAGCAGTGATAAGTTGATAACCGTATTAAAATTTTAATTAAATATGCATTACTGTACATCCGATACAACATTCCTGGTAAAGCGTAATACTATACCGTTGGTGAAAGAACGATGGTCCCAAAAACAGCACCGATTATAACGGGTAGACACATGTCGACAGTGGCCACAGTCCAGATTCATAAAGCGTTTCTAATTGCAGTTATGCGGAAATCACCCAACTCATCACTTTCACTCGCGCCGAACCTTGTTGAAATGATGGAGAGGTTTACAAAAGCCAACTAAGTGGCGTTTTCTTAAACCGATGACTACGAGTGATGATTGCGGATGATTGTGGCACAACGCACACGACACTGACCAGATGGTACCGGCGCCGATGAATTCATTATCGCTGCTACAATTAAGCGACGGAACTTTAAGAAAACGGCTTTGACATCACTCACACTTAGTAATACCAACAAAAGCACGAAATTCACTGGTTGACCAGAAGAATGCGGCATCGTGGTCAGCGTCGAACGCATTGCTGCTCGTCCGTTGTCCGTGGTGTAAACCATAGCCGGCGCCGGGCGCAGTGTTGTTCATGGACAGTCATTCACCGGATCTGACCATCTGATTATGTACTTTATCACTCATCTGAGATATGACAATCAAACTGGCAGTGCAGGAGTGTGAAAATGTAATTCTAGTACAACATATACGGAACGCTGAATGACATTTTTCTATACTTAATTTTAGGTTAAAAGAACAACCTAACTGGGGACTCGACAGCGGAACATCGTCAGTATTTTATATAATTGTTGTGTTTTCACAATGATTAGTAACCTGGTAACATAGGTTAGGGAAGTTAGGATCGTTTATTTTGGCAACATGTTTAACTGACTGCTTAGTTTCTGTATTACTGCGCTGAAAATTTTACATAGGTGCCGATCTTGTACAAATATACAGTTAAAAATAAAACTATGTAAAACCTTATACTTTGAGCCGTTTAACACTAATAATGTAGCCGCTTTGAAATCCTTATTTACTAAAATAAGCTCAGAACGCAAAGGGTGCGATGCAGTGGTACAGAGCCGATCATTCAGCAGAAAAACTTTTTTAGACGCAAACGGGTCCAAATGTACAGTATAAAACAACATCAGTGTTATAATGCAACTTTTGCTAGTAACAAGGCAGTTGAAGATAGGTACTAATATCCATTGTACAGACTACAGACAGATACTCGTATAGTAATTGTAGTTGCAATAATTACAGACTTTTAATATCCCGGAATGTAGAAAATGAAGTGCTTACTGTAGGTAGCTTTTCTTATTTCAGATTTACTGTACGTGCAATGCTTCTATTTTGAAGTGATTTATTACTAAGAACACTCAAAGTGTACCCTGACAGCATTATGATCCAAAGGAATGTACAGAATTGTATAAGAGAGATGCTCTCAACAACCCATTGAATTAAAACAAAAACTGCGAGCCTGATTAAATTAGCGTAAACTCTCGCAGAGTCACAGTACAGTAACACATTATTATGCAGTACCTTGAGCCTATTATCCCGAAGTAACCTCCAATTCTTGCGTAGCAAAACTGAAAATAACGCGGCACAATCGTCTACGTAAATTTAAAAAATAATGGCTTACTAAAGATCAACCGCCACCGCTTGCACTTAAGAAACCCGAAGAAAAAGTATGAGGGCGAATATTATAATGCTAACATTGGGGTGCGCGAGTGGTTGTTCGCCCCCAAAGATGTTCAGTAGTACGTACTACGTGGTGTGTGCTGTAATTTGATTCATCCTGTATTTTCTATAATCATTATGTTTGCCCTAATGCAATTGCTAACGAAAGCATTAACACACGTTTAATAATTTAAAAAATGCGAACGAGGGTCATGGATCCAGTTTTGGATGAACACGGAATTTATACGGGCATTAGCTCTCAGCTAGATATCGTACTTGGTCCACCATTCCATACTGCTCCCCTCTGGCGACTTTGATAATAGCCATGCACGCCTGCACCTTGAGGAACATATCATGGGATCCCCCCTTATCCGGATGGTACGCTTTGCAGGCAGCATGATATCTGGCATTGATACGTTCATTAGATGAACGCATGCTGCAGCCAAAGAAAGTGTACGCCTTCTCCAGCGCTTCATCCCGAGGGATATCGAACAACTTCTCCGTCAGCCAATCCGTCAAAGAGGACGTTACGCCCCCCACCAACAGTCCACCGATAACCCCGCCAACCACCGCTCCCAGAGGGCCCAAGAATCCGCCAATAGCAGCTCCAGCCAAGCCTGCACTGCCTCCCGCGACCAGCGTTACACTGCAATCAATCAGGTTTTTTGCCACGCGTTGGCCGCTGATCTCACCTTTCCACCAGCGCGTAATATTTTGCATCGCCTCCAGCGAGAGCGCCACAGCCGCCAGCGCCACTGGCGCCATCCGACCCACGGCCCGCACCACGGTCGCCGCCCGGTGGAGGGCGGGCATTAGCGCCGGGATAACCAGGTGTTCAGCCACCTGTAGAATGCCGGCTTGGGCGGCCGGATAGGCCGCTAAGCCACTGGCGCATCCCATGGCACCGCACAGAGCCAGGTCTTTTGTGTCTGGTGCTCCCCAGTGAGAATATCCAGTTGTGCACTCCGGTGTTGGTAAAGAGTGGTCAATATCCGGCACCGAGCTGTTCCTGGCGCCTTTGGAGTTGAAGCTCCCAATGTCGCGTTTAATACGTTTCACACAGGCGCGGAATCTCTGTTTATACAGAATAGGTGACTGAAACACTAGCCGTGCGTCGGTTTTAACTGTTTTTTTAAATCCGCATATGGAAATTTCGGTCGATAAGTAACTATGTTTTTCATGTATTGAACTTTTAAATACGGAAGGCGCAAGACATGATTATTCATGTAGCCCGCCGAATGAAGGCAACGCTGTATAAATTGTGAATGATCAAACACAGATAACGTAGAGACCGCATGTACGAGTAAGTGATTAACCTGCATGGTACATTGTACCAAAATATTGCATTAATTTTTGTCTCGATGTTTAGTGTGAAAAAAAAAATCCGAAGGAAATTCATAAGACAAATAAACAAACTCAGATAAAATAATAAAATAAATGAAATTACGCAAAAATTTACTTCACTGACAGCTTTTTTTAGGGTACGTACTCTGTCCAAACGGTAACCTACCTCATCCGAACCCACGACATCATGTAGCATATTCCACTTTCCGGAATTCTTATACCCATGCATTCTGTCCTCCTCGGCTGCCAGAAAACTAGCAACTTCCGCATATTCGTTAGGATCAGTTATGATAGTTTGCAACTTTCTGTTGACTTGTGAGCGCCATTCTCCGTCAGTCATTTTGAGAAACGATGAGACTCGGAGTAATCCGAAAAACAAAGCCCAAGAATTATGCACACTTCAGAAATGAACGAAGCAGCGTGGGCAAGAGTCAGCTATTAGCTGGGACCTTCTAAAACGTTAACAGTTGAAATAAGTATGATCAAACTCAAATTATGTACCTTTTCTCTATTTATTGAGTCCGGATGTGTGCTCTGTGGTATAACCCACTAAGCCACTTTCATAGCTGCGCTCACGACCGGCAGTTTATGTGGACTGATGAGTGATTTGGAGCTACGATTGCGGATATACGTGAACCTTTTATGTTTTTCTAGAGCACAGGCCAAAGGTTAGTGTTCTGCTGGTCGCTACGGAGGTGTTCAGGCGATTCAGCGTGCCATTGTTCCAAACTTTATTCTTATTATTTTGCTTACGATGGTAACGGTTTTATAATGGAATTGTACTGGTTTACACAACTCAGTTCCCGGCAAATAACAACATAATGATCACCACAAAAATATTCCATGAGATTCAGCATTAAAATATTATTCATTAATACGCAGGATTGCAATTCTTAGTATTGTATTGTCAGAATGGTGTTTCGCGCAGGTAGTATTTAAGGCGTGTTACGAGTTGAACTGGTTGTTTGGATAATGTTTAGGAGAAAATGCCGCAAGCGCATAGCATTTTTGCAACTCGGCGCACCTCCATGTGAAACTTCTCTTTTTAAATAAAATGATAACTCAGCTCAACTTACACGATGCGCTTCCAATATTTTCAAAAATCTAAATTTCAAGATACCTAACTGCGGTAAAATAAACTACAATGGACGACAAAAAGAAGTTGAACCGATCAGTCGGTCCGCGGTTCGAAAACAACCTCGCAACGACACCCCACCATTAAAACTTGGACGCTTACTCACTACTTTCAGACGCTCGCGCTCCGTGAATATCAAAGTGCAGCTATACTAGATGCATATCAAAAGGTGTAGAAAAAAATTTTAAACTTTTTGACACTAAACCTGTGGCTGTTTATGGCGAACAGCACAAATTCTAGCCATTTTGCTTTCCCATTGACTTAAGCATTGATTGCAAGCCAAACGGTTATGCGCACAGATCCTACGCTGTGCCTACGAGAAAGCAAAATGGCTAGAATTTGTGCTGTTCGCCATAAACAGCCACAGGTTTAGTATCAAAAGTTAAAAATTTTTTCTACACCTTTTGATATGCAACTAGTATAGCTGCACTTTGATATTCACGGAGCGCGAGCGTCTGAAAGTAGTGAGTAAGCATCCAAGTTTTAGTGGTGGGCCGGTGGCGTGTCGTTGCGAGGTTATTTTGAACCGCGGACCGACTGATCGGTTCAACCTTTTGTCGTAATTAATACATATCAAAGGTGTAGAAAAAAATTCTTAACTTTTTGATGCTAAACATGTGGCTGTTTATGGCGAACAGCACAAATTCTAGCCATTTTGCTTTCTCATAGACTTAAGCATAGATTGCAAGCCAAACGGTTTTGCGCACAGGTCCTATGCTGTGCCTACGACAAAGCAAAATGGCTAGAATTTGTGCTGTTCGCCATAAACAGCCACATGTTCAGCACCAAAAAGTTAAGAATTTTTTTCTACACCTTATGATATGCAATTAGTATAGTTGCACTTCGATATTCACGGACCGCGAGCGTCTGAAAGTAGCATGCAAAGTGTAAGCGTCCAAATTTTACTGGTGGCGTGTCGTTGCGAGGTTATTTTTGAACCGCGTACCGACTGATCGGTTCAACTTCTTTTTGTCGTCCATTGTAACAATCATTCCCATTAATGCAATGAAAGCTAAGCATACGTACGTGTAATAGCGCTACAATGTGATAACTTTTAATTAGTTACACCAGCTAACAAACGCAGAAGCATCGTTCACTACGATTGACCCACAATGCACATCTCGAATCATTTTTCGTTAGAAAGAATACAAACATATAAGCAAGAGAATGTTTAAAAGCGATAGATTAGATTTTCTCTGATTGAGGTGAAAGCGCAGCCCATAGGGAAAAGATCAGTCCACTGAATCCACGGACCTCGCTGTGGTTTTTCATTCTTTTTATGTGATTAATGTTGAAAATGGATTTGCCTATATCGTCATTCGGTCATTGGAGGATATCCTTGCCTTCCCGCGTAGCAGGATCACTTTACAGCAGATTTCTTATTACATGCCATCAAGCACTTTTCAACTGGGCCAATAAAATGTGGTCAGTTATAATACCGTACCGCTGTAACTTGCAGGTTTATTCGAATGATGTATGTAACATGACAGTAGCAGAAGGCTCTAGGGGACATAAACAACTCCTCAGTTTCCGCAGTGCGAACATATGATACGGTAGTATAATAAGAAAAGCAACAAACGACCTTGTAAAATTTAATTCCAGTAATTCAGCTGTAATTCGACCTTTGGGCTTTAACTATAATGGCGATCCACACCATGCCAGTCAAGACCCGCAAAATAAAACATAGTCAGAAACCATTTCTAGCCCAGCGACAGTAGAATTTAGAACGAATATTAACAGAACAAACGGCAGTTTCGTCCGGCTTGAAGCACGGTTCTCTTCATTGCCTGCGCCATTCGGGAAAGCCATGATCGTATTCGACAAAACATATTTGGGGTCGGAGCGCATTTACTCTTGATGTCCCGTAATAAAACTTCTGCGCACAGCCGGAAATCCTATAAAAGACAAGTTAAAATTACTGTTTTCAGTACCTACCCTAGTTTGCGGCGGCGCCGTTACGGTTTCTCATAACGTTGCACACAAGGTTAAAAACAACAGCTTAACACATAGAGTAATTATTCTATGTCTGATATGGCTCTGAACTCTCATTATTAACTAAAAAAACTTGCTTAATTTTCTACTTGTTATACGAAGAGAAAACGCGCTATAACGTAGAAAAAATCATCGCAGTTCTTATACCTCATCGGAATCTAGAGCATCCTTGAACATTGTCCACAATTTTGTGCTTTCGTAGCCATTGAAGGCATGGGCGTCTTCTTGGACAAGGCACTTGATAATTTCAGCATGTTGTTTTTTGTCCTTTACGATAATGCGCAGTTTGGTGAGGACTTGGCATCGCCATGGCCATTCCGCAGTTAGGTTAATCATTTTGCTTTTGATGAAACAGTCAGCATGAACTAGTACGAACAATATTACCAATGTCGTATACGTGATAGGGGTAAATATCGCCACAAACCTTACCGAAACTACAAGAGCCGTAAAACATCGTCTAGAATGGGCGCGTATTGTACCCGTGGCCGTGGGACATTTCATAAGTATAAAAAAACCGCAATAATTTATGTAAAAGCAACGCTATCCATGCTAATTGAAAAGCTGTAGAGGCTATGCTGGCAGGATAAATGTATAGAGCAGCCATTGCGGATATCGATGAAAAATGATTGTTATCGTTGCGTACACAGGATACACCTGGCAGTGCTGACACTGATAGAAAAAAACAAATTTATTCGACATCAGAAATGTATTATGGTTTCGTGTCTGCATGACCCGGATATCGCTGGCAGTGGCAACGCTTCTAGGCGCAAAACATAATTTTAACATAACGAGGCATCGGGTGTGCCTGAATAGACCAAATGTGCCAGCAGCGTTTGAGAAAAGGGTTGTAACATGTTCTATTTTATTTTGGGAAGTGAACCGATTCCATGGGCAATAAGTGCTTCTGCAAACGCGTTTTTGTTTACTGCAGTTTTCTCATTTTGAACATGGTCTTGCTACATTGGTCAACAGTTTAAATCTGTCAAAGTAGGATGCCATCAAATTCCTAAATTTGCATCATGAACATAAAGTAGATTTAAATTACACAGTAACGCAAAGTTTGGTTAAAATTGTTTATAATCAAATTTTGAACGATTGTACCTTATCGGAAACGAGAACATCCCTCAACATCTTCCAGATTCCTGAGCTTTCGCAGCCATTATAGGCATCCTCAGCCTGTGCCAGGCAGTAGAAAATCTCCGCATACTGTTCTTCGTCGGTTATGAGTTCAGTCTCTTGACAACTTGTAGCCGCCACCCTCCAGTCGTCCTTTTCTGGTGGATTCCAGATAAATAAAAGTGCTAAAGTGGGAAGGTCGCCACTCAATTTAAAATTATTCTGCAACTGTTGAACTAACCGTAAGGTACCCTGATGAATATTTTGAATAGCCAGCCAGTGGAATAGGTAAGTAACTAAAGCGTAAACTGTATCTGGTTTGGCCAAAGCCAATAGGCTTTGAGAGTATCAGCTTCCGCCCTGAGTAGTGTGTCTATCTTTGTGACGAAAGTTCCCGTAACCTCGTTTGTAATGTCAGAGTGACATCCGCTTTCTGCTGCTATCGTTCGTTCATCTGTTGTTTACGATAAGCGTAACCGATGAACCAAAACTGAGTATCAGTAGTAAGCCGACATAAAAATTAGTACATCGAGTATCGACGTCATACTGTATCGGACAACTTTTATTCCCTTTGAAATAGGCGAAACTGTGAAGGACACATGATACATCTGATTCTATAAGTGGCCTAATACAATTTTAGATGGGAATGTCGCCAGTGTGGAAATCTGTAGTGGGCAAGGTTTAACAGCATGCCTCTTGTTCACAAAACCCTACCAGTTTGTGTCTATTTCATTTACAAAATTTTATTCTGTAGTCTGTATGTTGCACCTGTATAGCAGTAACTTATTAAGCGGTTTACAAATCAGGATCCCAAACCAGCAAAAGGAATTCTCTCAGTTCCTAAATACATATTTTTAGAGATTCAAGATTCCATGTAATTTTTACGTACTTACTAATATATTCTGCTGCCAAATGAGTCTAAATGCCACGAGTGACACTGTACCAAAAGCATTGCGAGTTACGACGGCTGCATGCTTGCCAATAATTAGCGGTTAGGGAAGGGATTTGTTTCATTTTGCTCTTCTGTAAAATCGTTGAATCGCGGAAGCTTTACAGTTAGTGCAGTGCCCATTCACTGCAACGGGATCGAATAATTTTCAATCAAGCATTTTGACATCGGGCCCATTAAATCTGGCGGGCTATACTCGTTCCTGCACTTTTACTTACCATTGCACACATATCTTTTAATACAATCTGGAAAGCTGACTGGAAAGTAAAGAAAGCGCCGAATAAAAACGACTCCATTCTGCAGATTACCTTGTATAATTTACTGTGATGAAAAACCGCTTCGAGTGCTGTATAACTGTTTCATTTTTTAAAGTGCGACTAAATA